AGTTGATATTTAGTCTTTTCTTCTCATTTTCCTTCACTACCTTCTGAAGGAATGGCTATAGTTTCCCTTCTGTGTCTTTTGACAACACTGCGTCATGACGTGGGCGGTTATGGCTCTCTACAATTTCCTATTCTTTTTAGCTCTTGTAATGTTTGTCTTTTTTAGCATACTCCCATCCTCGTTCCGCCATCCATTCACGCAAGCTCGTTGCGTAGGTGACCCGCTGCCTTACCTTTCCCCGTTTTTGCCTTCAATATGTCCTATGACTGTCAAAGTTTAATAATTATTGTCAAAATAGTCTCCTTCCTCTGCAAAGCATATACTTTATAGATGAAAATTAATCACAGAAATTATATATAATATTACAGAGCGAAAAATTCAGATCAAAATTCAACTATGTGTAAGTCTGTGGACTTATTGATCGAATCTCATATAATTACATGAAAAGAAAACTATAATTCCTGTTATTCAGGTTGTTCTTGTGTCAAGATTGAGACCAAATATTGGGCTCTTATGACTGAGCCAAGATCTTGTGTTCTTGCGACTGAGTCAAGATCTATGGTTCTCCCGATTGAGCCAATATCTTGAGTTCTTGCGACTGAACTAAGATCTTGGGTTGCTTAAAACTGAGCCAAGATCACGAATCCTTGTGACTGAGTCAATATCTTGGGTTCTTGCAACTGAGTCAAGATTTTAAGTTCTTTTGATTGAGCCAAGAACTTGGGTTCTCTTGAACGAGCCAAGATTTTGGATTTTTCTTACTCAGTTCAGCTTTTTTTAATCCTTGCTTTTTAACCATAGCTTTTTGCGTATGATTCAAATACTGTATTTTTCATCATATTTGACGTTTTTAAAAAATTCCCTGCGTCTTATGTACTATAAGATACAAAGATTTGTATTGGGTACTAGACTAATAAATAGTAGAAACTGAGTACACCTGCTTGATACACTATTTCTTTTATGATCCCTGATTTTTTTTACAGTAAGGTTCACTCTGTACAACCCCCGGGGGCCACTCGAGTTATAGGGTTACCTTAAGGGAGTAATTTATATGGATACAAAGGGAAGATAACGGTTAACTCTAGACTTGAACAGGTTAAGATTATAGTGATGGGGGGAAATCCTCTTGGGAGTCTGTTCCACAGGGCAGTGGTTCACGGAAAGAAGCTGTTTGATTGGAACTGACTTCTCACCGATGGAATACGGAGGGAATGTGGGTGGGGTTTGCTACTATGTAAGTTGCATGGCGGGTCCTAGCCGTGTTGGTCAGACGAGGTGGAACCAGGAGATGAAGTTCGTACGAGCACTTTACATGGGGGTAGCAACAAAGCAGTGAGAGTCTCGCCACATTTCGCCTCTGTGTGTGTGCGTGTGTGTGTGAAAGAGAGAGAGAGAGTGAGATAGAAAGAGAGAGAGAGAGAGAGAGAGAGAGAGAGGTTGGAATGTAGAAAATAATTCTTCTCTAACAAGGACTCGCAGACATTTTGAACTCTATCTGGAAAGTGAAGTACGAGTAGCTCCTGCCCAGATATGGTAACAGTACTCTATTTTCGACCTGATCTGGCTCTTATAAAGATAGCATGAGTCGTCAGGTACATACTGGAGCTGTATAGAGAGCCGGTCATTTTGCCTGTATCTTTAGCGATGGATCGTATATAGGAATACCACTTGATGTCGGATAATAGGAAATGATTAAATTAAGACTCAAAATAGCATTCAAATATAAAAACCAATCCAAGTGTTGCAATTGTTTTTTCCCCTAAATATTCCTTGCCAAATGATAGTTGCGGATTATACACTGGCACGTATTATATGGATTTGAGCTGCTTTTAAAGGCATAGAATATTTAACTTGTACTAAAGCGCCCAAATGATTTTGCGATGAAACACTAAAAAGTTAGTTATCTATTTGAAGCTCTTCAATTGTAAAAGTGGGCATGTCGACCATACATTAACCAGGAGAGTTACCTGAAAAGGGGATGCATTTCCAGTCCTCATTTGCACAAGACACACATAAATAGAATTTTACATGTGTCTTCAGCCAATAGGCTTATTTGTTTATGTTTCCGTTCAAGATTCGAACCAGTTTGGTGAAAGGGCCAGCATGTTTGCCATATACCCCCCAAGGATTAAAATCTCCCGGTAGCGAACGCGCATTTTATCTAATATACAATTTTATCATTGCAAATGGAGTATAACTGAATATGCATAGATAATTCGCTATTTCGAATTTTCCGCCATTTAGAATGTTCGGAGAGAATTGAAATATTCCATTCAATGCGACGGTTTTGTGCACATGTATTGTGATGAACATCTAGGCTTGTATTTGATTCAATAATTTGGATGCAATTCGGCCTTTCAATTCATGTATATAGAAAGTAGAGAGATAGAAAAGAGAACTAGAAAGAGAGAAAGAGAGAGATGACGAGTAGAGGGTAAATGAACAAGTGTAGAGAGGTGAGACAGAAGAAAAAAGAAAGGTAGAGAGAATTCGACTTTTCAATTTATGTATATAGAGAGAAAGCGAGATAGAGAGGAGAAGAATAGAGAAAAAATGATGATGTGTAGAGAGAGGAGGTGAGAAGAAAAAAGAAACGGAGAGAGAATTCGACATTTCAATTTATGTATATAGAGAGGAGCGAGATAGAAAGAGGAGATGGGATGAGGAATAGAGAGAAAAATGATGATGTGTAGAGAGGGAGGTAGAGAGTTGAGAAAGAAGAAAAAAAAAGAACGGAGAGAGAATTCGACTTTTCAATTTATGTATATAGAGAGAAAGGAGATAGAGAAGAGGAGTGGGGATGAGGAATAGAGAAAAAATGATGATGTGTAGAGAGAGGAGGAGGTAGAGAGTTGAGAAAGAAGAAAAAAAAGAAACGGAGAGAGAATTCGACTTTTCAATTTATGTATATAGAGAGTAGCGAGATAGAGAAGAGGAGTAGTGGGATGAGGAATAGAGAAAAATGATGATGTGTAGAGAGAGGAGGTAGAGAGTTGAGAAAGAAGAAAAAAAGAAACGGAGAGAGAATTCGACTTTTCAATTTATGTATATAGAGAGTAGCGAGATAGAGAAGAGGAGTAGGGGATGAGGAATAGAGAAAATGATGATGTGTAGAGAGAGGAGGTAGAGAGTTGAGAAAGAAGAAAAAGAAACGGAGAGAGAATTCGACTTTTCAATTTATGTATATAGAGAGAAGGAGATAGAGAAGAGGAGTAGTGGGATGAGGAATAGAGAAAAATGATGATGTGTAGAGAGAGGAGGTAGAGAGTTGAGAAAGAAGAAAAAGAAACGGAGAGAGAATTCGACTTTTCAATTTATGTATATAGAGAGAAGCGAGATAGAGAAGAGGAGAAGGGGATGAGGAATAGAGAGAAAAATGATGATGTGTAGAGAGAGGAGGTAGAGAGTTGAGAAAGAAGAAAAAAAAAGGTAGAGAGAATTCGACTTTTCAATTTATGTATATAGAGAGAAGCGAGATAGAGAAGAGGAGTAGGGGATGAGGAATAGAGGGAAAATGATGATGTGTAGAGAGAGGGAGGTAGAGAGTTGAGAAAGAAGAAAAAAAAAAACGGAGAGAGAATTCGACTTTTCAATTTATGTATATAGAGAGAAGCGAGATAGAGAAGAGGAGTAGGGGATGAGGAATAGAGGGAAAAATGATGATGTGTAGAGAGAGGAGGTAGAGAGTTGAGAAAGAAGAAAAAGAAAGGTAGAGAGAATTCGACTTTTCAATTTATGTATATAGAGAGTAGCGAGATAGAGAAGAGGAGTAGTGGGATGAGGAATAGAGGGGGAAAATGATGATGTGTAGAGAGAGGAGGTAGAGAGTTGAGAAAGAAGAAAAAAAAAGGAGAGAGAATTCGACTTTTCAATTTATGTATATAGAGAGTAGCGAGATAGAGAAGAGGAGTAGGGGATGAGGAATAGAGAGAAAAATGATGATGTGTAGAGAGAGGAGGTAGAGAGTTGAGAAAGAAGAAAAAGAAAGGTAGAGAGAATTCGACTTTTCAATTTATGTATATAGAGAGAAGCGAGATAGAGAAGAGGAGTAGTGGGATGAGGAATAGAGAGAAAATGATGATGTGTAGAGAGAGGAGGTAGAGAGTTGAGAAAGAAGAAAAAAAGAAACGGAGAGAGAATTCGACTTTTCAATTTATGCATATAGAGAGAAGCGAGATAGAGAAGAGGAGTAGTGGGATGAGGAATAGAGGGAAAAATGATGATGTGTAGAGAGAGGAGGTAGAGAGTTGAGAAAGAAGAAAAAAGAAACGGAGAGAGAATTCGACTTTTCAATTTATGTATATAGAGAGTAGCGAGATAGAGAAGAGGAGTAGTGGGATGAGGAATAGAGAGAAAAATGATGATGTGTAGAGAGAGGAGGTAGAGAGTTGAGAAAGAAGAAAAAAGAAACGGAGAGAGAATTCGACTTTTCAATTTATGTATATAGAGAGTAGCGAGATAGAGAAGAGGAGTAGTGGGATGAGGAATAGAGGAAAAAATGATGATGTGTAGAGAGAGGAGGTAGAGAGTTGAGAAAGAAGAAAAAAGAAACGGAGAGAGAATTCGACTTTTCAATTTATGTATATAGAGAGTAGCGAGATAGAGAAGAGGAGTAGTGGGATGAGGAATAGAGAGAAAAATGATGATGTGTAGAGAGAGGAGGTAGAGAGTTGAGAAAGAAGAAAAAAGAAACGGAGAGAGAATTCGACTTTTCAATTTATGTATATAGAGAGTAGCGAGATAGAGAAGAGGGAGTAGTGGGATGAGGAATAGAGGAAAAATGATGATGTGTAGAGAGAGGAGGTAGAGAGTTGAGAAAGAAGAAAAAAAAGAAACGGAGAGAGAATTCGACTTTTCAATTTATGTATATAGAGAGGAAGGAGATAGAGAAGAGGAGTAGTGGGATGAGGAATAGAGGAAAAAATGATGATGTGTAGAGAGGGAGGTAGAGAGTTGAGAAAGAAGAAAAAAAGAAACGGAGAGAGAATTGACTTTTCAATTTATGTATATAGAGAGATAGAGAGATAGAGAAGAGGAGTAGTGGGATGAGGAATAGAGAGAAAATGATGATGTGTGTAGAGAGAGGAGGTAGAGAGTTGAGAAAGAAGAAAAAAAAGAAACGGAGAGAGAATTCGACTTTTCAATTTATGTATATAGAGAGTAGCGAGATAGAGGAGAGGAGTAGGGGATGAGGAATAGAGAGAAAAATGATGATGTGTAGAGAGAGGGAGGTAGAGAGTTGAGAAAGAAGAAAAAAGAAACGGAGAGAGAATTCGACTTTTCAATTTATGTATATAGAGAGAGCGAGATAGAGAAGAGGAGGGGGATGAGGAAAAGAGGAAAAAATGATGATGTGTAGAGAGAGGAGGTAGAGAGTTGAGAAAGAAGAAAAAAGAAACGGAGAGAGAATTCGACTTTTCAATTTATGTATATAGAGAGTAGCGAGATAGAGAAGAGGAGTAGTGGGATGAGGAATAGAGGGAAAAATGATGATGTGTAGAGAGAGGAGGTAGAGAGTTGAGAAAGAAGGAATGCAAAAGAGATGCAAAAGAAAGTCGAGATCGCCAAATTGTGACGACACGAGATGAAGAGATTTGGCGGCTAAAAATGAACGCAGTCAAGAAATCATCAATCAGCGTTGGTTACTTCTTAGCAACCAAAGGAAAGCATGGCTCGTCTGCCATTACTTCGATTGCAATCAATACCACATATCCGCGTGCGTGTGTCGGCAAGACGGCCGCCTTAGCGTGTGAGGAATGTGGTATTTGTGTGTAAAATTTTGTCGTGTGTGGCGTAGGGCTTCTGTGTACACGTGCTTCATATTGTTTTGGGGAGAAAGGAAATATGCGCGTATATGCGTGCTACACAAATCTTGTATGCACGTTTAAATGTAAAAATCATGTGTAAATATATATGCAAAATGCATGATCATCTGTGTGTGTATCGGGATTCATTTGGATATCAAATGGAAATAACACGTATATACTATGTGCATGTACGGAATAAAGTACGTATATATGTAGAGAAAGTGCATATGCATGTAAGAAATGACATACGAAGATGTTGTGAATATAGCGGTAAATGCAGCAGCTATTGAAGCTACAAAGAGGCCTTCAGAACACTCTTTAGAGCCATACCATCCTGGAGTCAATTTAAAATGACGCCGTTTTTCCTCATATATCTAAACTATAATTAGCCTATTATAATTGTGCCTATCTCTCCCTTCGTTTGTTCGCACAACCGTTACGCCCTGCCAACACCTTATAAATAATGGACTATTACGTTTTTGATCGCATGGAGTGAGGGGAAAAGACAAGATAAAAGACACATACGCCTGTAGTGTCCGCACAAACATGCATATACACAAATTCTGAGTATCATCTACCATGTATTCAATTGTGAAAGCAGAATAACGTGTTTTATTACTGCGAAGCTCCCAAGGAAATTAAATTTCAGCATTAAATGACCCATAAGGTGTTGATATGCCATTAAACAAACAAATTAATTTTTCAACAAAATCAAGTTTTTTCAAAAATATTTCTTATTAAAATCGGTCTAATTTAGTAATCGAATAATAAAGCCATTGATTTAAATATTGATCTTAGGATATGTTCTAATAACAATTTCGCATGGCTTTAAATTGACTGATTTATGCTTTTTATGGTTTATCAACCTTTTGCAGGTTATTTAAAACCAGAAAATTTTTTAGATTATAAGAATTTTTAAGGAGGTAATAATAATTTACCGAAAAAATGTCCTACTAATTAACCCATAGATGGGGGTAGAAAAGATGGATTCATACATTTCCCAAGGGTATTTGCGCGCAAGGGAATATAACAAACACAACTGGAATTGGGCCTCGGTTCTCCAATTAAAAATTCCGAGCCGTTATCATCCAAGTTTACAACACCTATGTTTCCCATCTGTCACCTATCTAAATACTGGTCAGGTAGACGTTGCTTAACTGCGGTGATCGTACAGAAACCAGTGTTTCAACATTACATGGCGTATGGCTTCAAAACACTCAGGTAATTAGTCAAGTTTTAAAATGTACTTACCGTCCTGGGTATGACGATAAACTACATCCGCGTCCTGGGTAAGATGATAAACTACATCCGCGTCCTGGGTAAGACGATAAACTACGTCCAGCAGCAAGGCCTCTGATCAGGAGGTTTTGAGGAGCGTGGAACCACCTCTTAATTGCTGTTATTCCCAGGTCCACTCTGACTCGAGGTGGTAGCACCCGTCAGGGTCCCAACTATGGGAAAATAGCCCCCATCAAAAAAAGGGTCAAAATACTATGAAAGTATAAAAATAGGTTTTAATAGCGGCAATACTTTTTTGAAAAATTATTATCAACAGTACATTTTTGAAAAAAAATATTACCAGCAGTACATTTTTGAAAAAAAAAAAAAAATTTTCAGCAGTACATTTTTGAAAAAAAAAAATATTACCAGCAGTACATTTAAAAAAAAAAAAAAAAAAATATTATCAGCAGTACATTTCTGAAAAAAAATATATATATATTATCAGCAGTGCATTTTTTTTAAAAAAAATATATTATCAGCAGTACATTTTTTTTAAAAAAAAAATATTATCAGCAGTACATTTTTGAAGAAAAAAATATTACCAGCAGTACATTTTAAATATATATATATATATATATTATCAGCAGTACATTTCTGAAAAAAAAAAAATATATTATCACCAGTACATTTTTGAAAAAAAAATATATATATATTATCAGCAGTACATTTTTGAAAAAAAAAATATATATATTATCAGCAGTACATTTTTGAAGAAAAAAAAATATTATCAGCAGTACATTTTTGAAAAAAAAAATATTATCAGCAGTACATTTTTGAAAATAAAAATATTTTTAGCAGTACATTTTTGAAGAAAAAAAAATATTATCAGCAGTACATTTTTGAAAAAAAGTATTACCAACAATACACTTTTGAAAAAAAATATCCGCATTGAATAACCCACTGAGGTTGATATGCCGTAAAACAAAATAAATCAAACCAAACCAAAATGTATTTATAGCCTACATTTAGACAGATGGCTCCTCGAATCCTTCGTTGACGTATCGCTTAATAGTTAACTTATATTGTTCAGCTTTTAGGCTAAAGCCAATCGAATCCTTAAAACGTAAAACCTCGAAAACTAATGCGCTCATATTAGAAATAGACATTATGTCTTATAACGTAACAGAAAATAAATTAATATTTAATATGTCCAAATTTAGAAACATTTAATTGGTCAACCCTGACTCAGCTGGCAAAAGTTTGAATTGAGTATCCTAAGGTTCATGGATGCAATTCAAAAAATATACATGAGGATTGAAAATAGTTAAACAGTAATGAAGAAGCAAATCATACGTACAAAACGTATTGTGTTTATTATACAGGCATATCAATAATAACATATCAATACTAAACATATCAATAATCAACATATCAATAATAAACATATCAATACTAAATATATTAATACTAAACATATCAATAGTAAACATATGAATAATAAACATGTCAAGACTAAATATATGAATAAGAAACACATCAATACTAAACATATCAATAATAAGATATCAATACTAAACATATCAATAATAAACATATCAATAATAAGATATCAATACTAAACATATCACATCCCTCAGATGTTCAAAATGTTTACCCGCGACTTTAATACGCTTCCTCTAGTCAAGAGTCAACACACATATACGCTCTGGCGCAAAGAGGTCTTTATCAACATCACTTTCATGGCAAACCTTCCGTATGTACTTAAACATGGCATCAACAGAACGTGGCATGCGCGCGAAACCGCTATCCTTTACACACCCTCAGCCATGGAATTATCACTTTATCTGCAAAACATTAACTCTTACTATTTATCAAAAAAATTAAGATCATAATAAATGTATAATTATAGTAAAAATTATGAAAATAAAATTCTTACCGTATATTTCCGCTTATAAAATGACCTTTAGATAAGACGTGGTAAAAAATTATAGCAAATTTTAATGAATCTGTCCTATACCTATCGTATAAAACGACTGCTTATTGATTATCTAAAGATGATGTGTTAGGAAATGTTGTTACTTAGTGTATTCTTAGCGATTCAAAATAAACGAAATAGCTAAACAGATTCTATATCAGCTTTTTAGTACACATGGGCCCTGAACGGGAAACCATTGTTTTGTTTAAGTTTCATCACGTGATCTCTTGCGAATCCTGATTCTTCTTCTTCTTCCTCTTCTTTTCCTATATCTAAACAGTTACAAACAGCCTGGTGTACGAATGGACATCTACTTATACTTCATCGAAAATCATAAAATACCACTAATAGCAATATGATAATATACGATAATAATAGATTCAACTTTCAAGATTTTTTCAAATATTATGTTATCCTAAATGTTATTACTGCCATAATTAACACTACCATGATAATTATTGAAAGTTCAGCGAAAGATAAATGGTTGCAGTGACAAAACCCTAACTTGAGGTTTACATTTTCTCAGCTGAGCTTGCATGGATACAAATTGATTTCATTGATATGGAATTATTCTTCGAATAGGCAAATTATTATGAAGTTATGCCAGAGATACATCAGGTAGAAATGGTTTTATTACTTTCATTATCAGATTTTTTAGATAATGTGAATCTTTTCATGTGCGTTATTGGCCATCACACCGAGGTTGAAGTTCAGCCTATCGACAAACAACACTCAGAATTTAAGGTTTCTTTTTTTAGAATTGTAGTATAAGACGACACCCCCAATTTTTAAGGGTGACTTTTGGGGATTTAAAGGTCGTCTTATACGCGGAAATATACGGTAAATATGATTTTAATGAATTAAATGAATTCTAGTATTAGATGAATTCTAGGGCCACTATTATGATGTTGATAATACTGCTGTAATACTTACTGTACACCTACTTTTGCATCCCCTGTATTGGTTCGAGAACTTCTGATTGGATAACATTTTTTGTCTTCTTCTTCTTCTTCTTCTTCTTCTTCTTCTTCTTCTTCTTCTTCTCTTTCTCCTCCTCCTCCTCCTTCTTCTTCTTCTTCTTCTCCTCCTCCTCCTTCTGCTTCTTCTTCTTCTTCTTCTTCTTCTTCTTGTTTCGCAACCTTTTTCTGCCTGATGTACCCTTTTCAGTATAAGTTAGAATATAACTTTCTACCCTTTCCAAGATTTTCTGACTCAAAAGGTGCATTCCAAATAATATGCATATATTATTGAAAATCTTCATTCTTTTTCATATTACAACATAAACATTTACATGGATTATTTTTATAGGGAAATTTTACAAATTTAATAGCAATAGAAAATATTGATGGATTTTTAAACGTGAATATATATATATATATATATATATATATATATATATATATATATATATATATATATATATATACAGTAATTTGTTTCGATTCATAACAAATTATTACATAAATAAAACTTCATTAAACAAAAAATTCAATAGAATGTCAAAGTATTGTAATTCAATAAACCAAACTGTCTAAATAAAAAACATGAAAAAATTAAAAATGTTTTCCTTCCCATCCTTGGAACTCTGAAATTTCCAACTGGGGTGGGTTCCTGACTCCCAGGTTGAGAACACCTGTCCTATATATTTAAATTTTTGTACTGGCTCGATATTGGTGTCTCCAACGCAGCCTTCTTTATTAATGGAATACAAAACGAAAAAAATCTATACAATACTAAAAATCTCAACCAATTTAGAAGCATATTGTACCATGAACCCCTGCCGAGTGTAGTGACAGATTTCATTAAAATAATAGAAGGCAGATTTTCTTTTTGTTTTACACCATTTTTAATTGGAAATTCAGTATTTGTTTTCCATATATGAAGGCAAGGATTATGGCAGCATTCACCAATTTAAACAAGGAGACATCTCAGAAGAATTGCAAGAGATTCGGGAGTCGTCTGGAGGCCATGGTTGAAGCGAATGGCGATTTTATTGAATTTCAAGATATTTTGTGTAATTTTGGTAAATATATCTGTTAAAATGAGATGTCAGTTTTATATTCCTTTTTGCGTAATTTAAACGACAATTTATCCATCGGACTCTGTAGAAATAGTCATTCCCCACTTTTTTTCCCCCGAAAAAGCGCGGGAACAAAATAAAAATAAAACTTAAAGAAATGTATCGAAAGATACATGATCGCCTACGCGTGTATCACGCATGCCACATAGCTGATAGTAATGATCGTGATATACTAAATTCCTGGTTGTCCATCCGAAGCAACATTCTGTTGATATTTTTTTTTTAAAGGAGTTTGTGTTTTCGATTCTGTAGACGTGCCGAAACTTCGACACGGTCATCTTTCCAATTCTTCCGTATCCAAGAATTCAAAACGAATTTCCACCATAGCCGTCTACAAGTGAGGCACCAAAGAGAGCAACATCTGATTTTTTATCAATTCCGTCTTTCATGCCGGATTCTTTGAAATGAGAAATTATGTTTATTATGCTTTTGTATTCGGACCCGCATCCTTATCTTAGTAGATATACTCACAATGTTTTGGCCGTTGTATCCTCCGGCCCTCATCGGGTGGCTATTTTGGTACACGATGGGTATGATCGTCCGGGTATCAAAGTATATACTAATAATAATATCTCATCTAAAAAATCGATTAAGATTACATAAATTTACATTTGAATTTTTCTGTTCCTTCCATTATGTACAGTTCTTTTTGTATCACATCAAGTTGTACAAGCCTACAAGTAGTGTGTGCATCTGATGTGTGTTCTAGTGTGTCTGCCGATGTGTAATCTCTATTATTTATAAGCCATTATAAGATTATTCACCATTCTCTTGATGGTGCTTCAATGGACACAGTGGAGCTGAAATAAAAACGATTTTAACTTATAGTTAAAAAATAGAAAAAAATACATCGGCACTGACGCACATTATTTTTAAGGATTTTCTTTTCTTTTTATTTTATTTCCCGACGTCAAGTTCAAACTATTTTTGTGTGGATGATTTTAATTTGGGTTGAAAAAGAAACGCGCAATTAGCGAAGTTCTATAAACATAATGTTTAGTATTTGAGCCAATACTTTCGATATTTTAAACAATGAAATTATTGTCTAACAGCCTAGAGATTGTGATTTTATAGTAATAAAAAAAATCATTAATGCTATATATATATATATATATATATATGTATGTATGTATGTATGTCTCTCTCTCTCTGTATATATATATATATATATATATATGTATATATATATATATATGAGTAAACATTGAAGTCAACACTCAGAGTCGACAGGATGTTTTATGCTAGACGCAATCGCCGGGCCGCGAATGTTGGATTTTTCCGCGACTATTTATATATATAGATCAGTGGTGCATTGTGGGTAATCTATTCTGGCGGTTATTTTTGACGATTGAATCCAACATGAAACAGCCTGTCGCCTCCGAGTGTTGACTTTAATGTTCACTTTTATATTTCACATGCTCTATCTCTGATATTGAGCACTTTATCCCATAAATATAGCACACCTTAAGACTATATATATATATATATATATATATATATATATATATATATATATATATATATATATATATGTATGTATATTCGTTTTAGTCAATTCACACTAAACAAGAAAATAATGCCACTAAGACGCAAGGGGGACTATTGGGAGTGAAGGATAAAGCGTATATCACGCATTGTACACATCTGACTGACTGAAATCATGTTTATTTCTTCCACTGAGTCAGTTTAGTCAGTTTTTCAGCGCTACTAGACGCAGGTATTGAACTCACAAGTGTCAAGGAAGCAGATAACGAACGCTTGAATCTAATAGTACATGCTGGAAATAGTAATATCCAGGAGAGCCCATAGATAGAATAGAAGACTCTGTTTGAAATCCCATTATGGTTGTCGAGTAAAGTATATAATATAATATATATCAAGTAATGCAAGAGATGCCTGACGAAGGCCAGGGGGTAAAACGACTAAAACGTTGTGAGTATAACAAGCAAGTGGAACGTGAGGTTTTCAAATAGCAAGGCCTTCTGTCTTTGTTTACTTTTGTCTAAAAATCTCGATATGAACGACGAGTTATCAAAATGGCAATTTATATTCCATCCATGGATCAATACTCATTCTTAAAGAATGAAGTTGCCAGGCCTCGTATCAAGCTCCAAATATTTTTTATTGCGGTTATTGTTTGAACAGCGAAAAATAATTTTCATTGGTTCAGCCTTGCAATGTTCAAATGTATATTCTGTGACACACACACACACACACACATACACACACACACATACACACATATATATATATATAATATTTTCTGTTTATACGTTATTTTGATAGATACAATTTATTTAAGTAAATGCTGTTTTTTTTTTTTTAATAAACGGTATTAATTACATTTACCGGCTTGAATTTTCGAGAAATTTTGTACAAGATATGTGCTTCTCCGACAAGAATCGAACCTGGAACTCCAATGGGGACCATCGTTTGATCTGATGTTTACCATTCAACAACACAGAAGCATCTGGTTAGTTAATTACTATTTATAAACAGTAATTCGGACAATTATGCCTTGAATGAAACCATTGGTAAATTCAGAGTCAATTTGGTATGTATATTCTATTGTCTCTTCGCTAAGCAGACTTTTCTTTGTGGCTGAATATGGTTAATAGTCCATCAAACCAACTGATGGTTACTTTGGGGTTACTACTTCGATTCGAGTAAATTCCTCCTTCAAGTTTTAGTCTATTGTTTTGTTTTTGTTTAGTATCGACTAAGTCTTTTATTTT